GTAAGTTGTTTTCTGATACATTGTAAACCTTTGTTGCTTTTCTGGAGGGAAAATGTTTGGTGTTAAATCCATTTTTATTGTTTTAACTATAATTAAAATAATGAGACTTAGCTGTGTTGGTTTTTAAACCCTAAAAATATATACAAGAAACTTTGCTCTTCATCTTGGAGAACATAGAATTTTAGTTCTGCTCTCCCCCACCTCCATCATAATATTCTAATTTATTTCAGTGAGGTACAGTTTTTTTTTTGTCATTAAGAAGCTTGTTTAATATTTACATTCAATCTTAATGTAAGAATAATGGTCAAAGAAAATCAGTAAAATAAACACCAAATTAGAGGATGTTTTTGTGATTGTGGTGAGTACTGATTGGTTGACTGGATTTTTTCCTTTTACATATTCTTCACTTTAATATTGTTAATTTCCTTTTGTTTTGAAGAGGTGGTAGGATGGCTTTATTTTCAAAGAATTGTACAGTTTTACTTCTCTAAAATTATCATTGTTGTTGTTCAGTTACTAACTCTTGTCCAACTGTTTTTGACCCTAAGCACACCAGGTTTCCCTGTCCTCCACTATCTCCCAGGGTTTGCTCAAGTTCATGTCCATTGAATCAGTGATGCTATCTAACCATCTCATTAATTAGTCCATATCAACTATATCAACCATCTCATTAATTCATCCATATCAAATAAGTACTAGAACTTTATTGTCTAGAACTTTATTGGTCACTGTAGGGGAAGCAAAGAAGTATTGAGCCCTTGTATTTAAAGAGTTTATATTCATCATCTTATATCCCTACTGAATTTTACACTTGTTATTTAGTGTAAGAAAAATATATAAGGCATTATAAACTTATGTTTTTCCTCAAAGAGACTTGCCACACAATATGCAGCCACTTTTGAGCCCCACTCATTTGTTTAGTGGTGTTTTAGATGGTATATTTCAAAATTAAAAATGTTCAAAAGTGAAGACATCTGAGATTCATTAAGAAATATTTTCTCAATTGATACAGTTGATCTGCAAAACAGCATTAATTACTGTTCCACAGCTCCTTGTTTCTATACAATTGAACATATTCTGTTTTTTTAGTTAAGTAGTATAAAATATACAGCTGTGATATTTAGAAGTATTTGTTAAATGCTGCATGAATGAGTGGGATCATAAGTGTTATGGGAATTTAGCAAAGCAACAAGAGGTAGTTACATATAACTATTAATATAAATACGTAGTTAATGTTGTATCTGGGAGGATACTTTTCCAAATTTGCTTTGAGGCATCTGTTAAAAGTAGAACGAGAGATATATTTATCTTCCATCATTTATCTGGCCTTCCCAGCACTAGTTAGGTGAAACATGAAACATAATTAAACATATATGTCCTTGCTGCTTATCTAGGTACATACTACAGAGAGTTGCCCATGTGAGAAGCTGTTCCATCGCAAATGTGGGAGTCTGCAGTTCAGAGTACAGTTGGCCCTCCATATCCATGGGTTCTGTATCCAAGGATTCAACCAACTGTCAATCAAAGATAAATTGGGGGGAAAAAAAAATCCAGAAAGTTCTAAAAAGCAAAACTTGAATTTGCTATGCTGGCCACTGTTTACATAGCATTTATGTTGTATTGGGTATTATAAGTAATCTGGAGATGATTTAAAGTATCCCTGAGGGCTTGCATAAGTTATATGCAAATGTTACACTATACAAGGGATTTAAACACTTGTGGATTTTGGTGTCTCTGGGGGTCCTGGCACCAATCTCCTGTGGATACAGAAGGAGGACTGTATCTGCCCTGGTAATGTGGTCATAGGTGTTGGTGGTTGGGTGAGACTGGCAATGGTAGTTCTACTGAAAACTGTTTGTTTTGCTGTCTGCTGCTAACGTGTGACCCCTCCTTGGACCTGTGTTTCAGAACAATTTCCTCAGCTCCCAAGAAGAGTTTTGTATATTCCACACAATTTATGGGCTTCTCTGGTGGCTCAGATGGTAAAGAATCTGCCTGCAATGCGGGAGACCTGGGTTTGATAACTGGATTGGGAAGATCCCCTGGAGGAGGGCATAGCAGTCCACTCCAGTATTCTTGCCTGGAGAATCCACATGGACAGAGGAACTACAGTCCATGGGGTTGCAAAGAGTCAGACACGACTGAGCGACTAAGCACATTGCACACAACATTTATACATATTGTAGGTTGGCATCCGAACAGGTAATTGAAATTTGAAGCTTCATCTGAGGCTTTTTGTGATATGACCCTATGCTAAAAGTTTTATCATATATAGATTTGTCAAAAAATGCCTTGAGTAGCCCCGTCTCATTTCACCTCAGGACTCTTCAGCACAGCAGGTGTTTCAAGATGAGAAGCGTTTACACCCCAACCCTCGTAGGGCACTAGTGACAGACTAACTAATACACACATTTTCTCCCTTAACTCCTCAGCAGGACAATTTAGGGTTATTCTTGAAGGATATATTTAACCATATTTTCCTACTCAATCAATTTAAGTGGGATTTAAACCATACTGTAATCCTTAATAAGGCATTGGTTATTGAACAATCTTGGTTAATGTTTGAATGAGCAAGCTGTTCATGAAAGTGTGATTTCAAGCCTTTTGCAGCTGAACTTTTCCAGCCTGAACCATCACGTGTGTAAACTTGGAAGAGCTCAAAGAATTAAACCAATATATCGCCCTAAAGTCATTTATCACCAATCACAATGATCTGTCTCAAACAAACATATCAGCTACTATCTTTCCATCATTACGTCCTGTCTTAGTAAGATCTTATCTAAGAGAGTAGGCTTTGTTATACACGAGAACAACTGAGTTAAAAATTATTTCTCCAAATGACTATATTAGTATATCTTTAAAAACAACTGTATAAAAAAAAATATGTAAAGAGACTTACTTTAAAAGTCTACATCAAAATTACAAAGTAGTTTGTTTTATATTAAGCAAATGATGAATTAAAAAGAAAACTGGTTCTGCTTAAATAATAACACTTTATTGATTGTTTCAAAGTCACCAGTACTTTATAACAGTTTAATGTGAATTCATTAAATTTAGTGTTTTATAACAATTTAGAGTAAATAGTTATAATAACAAATTAACATTTTCCTAAGATTTGAAGAAATTTTAATGAGTTTTCATACTCTGAAAATATTTTTCCTGAAACTTGGGGGAAGTTTCCTAAATCACAAAAAGTTGTGATAAAAAGGCTAATACTGGTATGAGGAATAGAATGAAAGAAAAGCCATAAAAACCAAGTAAGAATTGTCCTGTGGGTTATTTAAGAAAGACTAAGATCCATATGTTCTTTTTTTTTTTTCCAGTATATTCTTTAGTTTATGTAATGTTTTAGGATTCTGTCAGAGTTGGTGATAAACTTGCCAAGGGTAAAATAATAATAAAGTATGTACCAGGAAGTATATTGCAACATTGTTAATAAAGACAAAAGGTTGGAAATAACCCAAATGCCTTTCTGTGGGACCAGTTTAATAAATTTATGTGTCCTTATAAAAAAGAATACAGTGCAGCTGTTGAAAGGATGAGGTTTTTCTCTTTGCAAGGTTATAGAATGAGCTTCAAGGTTTGTTAAGTAGAAAAGCAATTTGCCCAGGTCTCTATCTTTGCTACTGTTTGCATAGGTGGAATATGCAAATATGTGTTTGAATATGCAAAATTACTTAGGGAAGGACACAAAAAGCTGGTGGTAACAGCAGCCTTGTAGCAGGGAAGGGGAGAGCGGAGTATGAGAAAGACTTCACTTTTTACCATATGTAGATGTTGCCTACAAATAAGTAAATAGTGTAAAAAAAAAAAATTCACCTGTTCCTTTGATGGTATCAAGTGAAGGAGGTATTGCTTAAATCCCTGCTTCTGTCTTCCTGTGTCTTGTCGCCTACCTGTTATCTGGTAGACTACAGGCTACCACTGCCAAGTCTTTTTTTTTCTTTTAAACATACATGACATAACTCGAGTCTTTAAGCAAGGAATTCTTTGTACAGTGCAAAACACTGTAAATAAGTATTTGCTTTGTTGAAGATTTTTTTTTGCAGGACCTATTTTTCTGGCATTTTTGTGAGTTCATGATGACGGTAAAAGTACATAATTTTGGTAGCCTTGTGATCAAGTTAAACCAGTCATGTCCTGCAAAGATGCTGGTAAACTTTTTATTTGTTCAGATATATTCCTACTTTGTTGTTTATTTTTAAATTATTGTTAGTGTTCTGTAGATATTTAAACATAATCAAATTGATTTGTGTCTTTTCCTCATGCTTTTTAAACTTAGAAATTAGAAAAATTGTCTGGTCACTTAATACTGTCTCATTTGTACCTGATTTTTATAATTCAGTTTCACATTTTGTTTCATAGAGTAGAAGTTTCACCATGGATTTGTACTATGATGCTCAGCTTTAGAATTTCCTTGACCCAGTGTATTACTTTAGCCAGAGACAAGCAGATTCAAGGAATTGGTCACTAACCAAGCTCACAAGACTGATTTTAAAATTTAAAAGTTAGTCTTCAGGATAGCTAATAGTTAAGGGAATTGCTTGGGAGATATCCTAGTTGATAAATCCATATAAGAATAATAATTTTAGGTCACAGAGTTGCCTGTCACACTTTTAGGACAATGAGAATTGTGTGAATATTTCTATCGTTAGGATAGATTACTTTTTCAATTTTAAGGATATTTTAAAGATCAATGTCATGGATAATTAAGTAGATTGCTACATGTTCCACATAGTGCCAGAAACAGAATAACAAGCTAATTGGTCTTCCAGAAATCTGAATCCCCCAATTTCTAGATCCCGTTAGGAATAATCACTAAAGTAGGGGGAGGAGAGGGGATGACCAGACTTTTGGGAGCCTTGAGAGAACAAGTATTCGTGGCCAATACTGGGGTTGCCTCAAGGAACGTCATTTTAGATCATGAATTCACTTTGGAAGGAGTTATATTGCTTGCCGTATTCACTGTTAGGTTTAGTTTTCCCAATCTTGTATTTCAGGGAGGAAATAATGCTGGCCATACAGTTGTTGTAGATTCTGTGGAGTATGACTTTCACCTTTTACCCAGTGGAATAATTAACCCGAATGTTACTGCATTCATTGGTAAGTATGTAAACTGAACTTAGGGATTTTCTTCCCCCAGTTGATAATAGTGTTTATTTTTCATTAAACTTATTTAATCTCTAATCAAATGATTTATTGATTGCTTATTAATCCTGACAATGGTATCTCCTGGAGTATACCTGACTTTGACTGTTTAACACATCTTTTAGATCTTTTAGCCTTAATACCTTTTGGAATGATTACTTTGCATTTATTTCTTACTGGCATTCTTAACTGTATCGCAGTGTTGGATCATCAAATCAGGTTGCCAAGCACTATGAAGCATCGTAAGGAGGGCGAGAAGTCTGTTTCATGGATGGATTCTGACTGCTTGTAACATAAGATGCAATCTGACATTTTCTCTTCTAGTCTTTTATTTTTAAAAATGCTAATCACAACCCAGTAAATTGATTTTATGGCCACTAATTGGTTTGAGTTCCCAAGTTGAAACACTGTGATCTGGTTCAGTTTGCCTAAAACTATGTAACTGGTTCCTTTCAAAATAACAGTTTCACTTCATTTCAAAGAAATTTCAAAGTTTATTGAGTGTAGTTTTAAGTGTTTTATATTATGTGTATTATGTTTTATTGTGTATTTATATTTTACTACTATTTAAGACTTGGAGTCATTTCTGTGGTAACTCCCTGATAAATTAGAATGTTCTACTAATCAACGTGTATCACTCTTCCCCTATTCTAGATAAGGGTTATTATAAATGTCTTTGTTTAAATATCATTATGTATTACAAATATAGATGTTTAAAGTTGGGATTCGTTTATTTGTGTGTATGTGTGTTTTTATTTTTTTAAGGAAATGGTGTGGTGATTCATCTACCTGGATTGTTTGAGGAAGCAGAAAAAAATGTTCAAAAAGGAAAAGGTATGAAAGAATGAGTCTGCTTTGTCTGGTAACCAGCTATTTGTGGTTTTTTTTTTTTTTTTTGGAAGAGTGGGTAAAGTTTTAAAGGGGCTCTCATTCCAGGAAAAACTTCACATTTTCATCTTCTACTTTAAAATTGCAGGTTACTGTAGGACATAATTTTTATGTCATAATTTTTATTTATTTTAATAAATTTTTATTAAATTTTATTCATTATAATCAGTGTTCTAAACAAAAGACAAGCATAGCAAGTTCATTGTGTAAGTCTTGATGTTTTTACACATTGGTTGTCTGCAAGCCTTATCTGTAGGTAGCTAGAATTACTATATGTTGGTGGCACGACTCTAGGAAGTTCCCAAGCTCATTTTGTCACTTGTGCTTGCTAGCATCCTCTTCTGCACAAACCAAAATTAGCTTAAGGCAGTTTCAGGAAACCACTGTAGCCCATCTTGTACACCATTAGTCTCATTTCCTGGAGGATCTGGAAGTCCCTTGGTTACTACAACCCAGGACAAAAGAGGGTTGTTTAGATCCCTCCCTCCAAGTGAAGGAAACGCTTCTTTGCAGTGTATCCACTTCCAGGTTTAAAAAAGAGCAGACTTGATTTCCTGCCTTCTCTAATCTTTTCTGGAGTCTTGGAAGTCTATTTACATTCAATTTGGCTGTCTTTCTAGGGTTTGAGGGGACTGTGACAATACAAATAAAACATAATTGAGAAAAATCATTAGTGTAATTTCCCCTTAACTCATATTTAACGTACTAAGTCCTATTAAATTTTTAAAGTTTATTTTTCATGCATAAAAGTAGCAGTCCATCCATCCTTAAATGTTCCTGACAACTAAATCTGCCTTAAGAGAATCCTGTCTTGCTTGTCTCTAGTCTTCCCTGAAATTTTACCTGTTTGTTGTGTCTGTTTTCTTTAATTGGTCAGGTTGAGGTTCCTATGCTACTCTCCGTTGTTCTTCATCCCCCTTACAGTTTTGCCCTACTCTTTTTCCTTCTGCCCTACCTAACCCAGCTGACTCCACCTTACTGAATTTCTTTGTAATATTTACTTTATAATAATGCCTAAGCTAACTTTAGAATACATATGTGTTTACATGTCAACAACTATAGGGGGGCTTAATATCTTCTTTATAAGGAATATTTTTAAAACAAATCTTTGAATATTATCAAAAGTAATTTTTTAATATTCAAATACTAATTTTGAAAATTAGTATCTGGTGGTATATCCTTAGAATACATATAACCTGGGCTGGGTGGCTAATTCTTAGAATACATATAACCTAAGGTTCTGTCTTTAAAGAAAAATATTTAAATTCATTTATTTATTCATTCAACAGTGATTTTCTTTGAACATTTATTGGATGCCAGACCCTGTGCTATGAAAACTCATGACCCCTACTCTCAAGCATTCACACTTAAATGGGAAGATACATAGATCTTCTTATAATTCAGTGTGATAAGTACAGTAATTGATAGTACTTTGGAAGAATAGTGAGAGCATTTTATTATTTTGTTTAATCACATTTTTTGTAATTGTCTTGGGAAAGGGCACCATTCCCAAAATTAACTCCCTTTTCTCAAAATTCTCCCCATGCTCTGCTCACTCCCCACTGCTGACAAAATAATATTTTGTACCATTTTTGTTTTTGGATGCTTAAAAGTATTTTATGTGGCTATGGCTGGCTTGAATTTGGAATAGCTTAGAGCAAAACATTTAGAAAGATAGAATTTGTGAATGAGTTTGTATAATGATAGATGAGAAAATTCTTGTTAAACATATTTCCTATGCAGAAGAAAAGATACTAAAATGATTACTTCAGTGAAAAACACTTTTAAACATTGTATTTCTAAGGAAATTAAGATTTTAAAATTATTATTCAAATGTTCAATTAAGCGTGTCTATTCTTCCCTTCCTCCTAGGTCTGGAAGGCTGGGAGAAAAGGCTTATCATATCTGACAGAGCTCATATTGGTAAGGCTTATCATATCTGACAGAGCTCATATTGGTAAGGCTTATCATATCTGACAGAGCTCATATTGGTAAGGGGGATGTAGTGCATTTATATATAACCGTCTTTTTATCAGAAACGTATGAAAGCGTTTAATAGATGATTTGATCTTTAATTTTGTTGAAAACTAAGTAGGATGAATTGTAACAATTGAGTTCAAGTACATGAAATATTATTAATTTTTTTCTTCTGTTTCTGATAAGGACTAGGTTAAGATTACCTATTTCTGAAGAATTAGCAAGTCAAATGAATAAGCAGTATTTCAAGAGGCTTTGCTACTTCTATTTGAAAATAAGCCATGTTAAAATACAAAGAGCATTTATTTGCATGTATCATTAACCTATTTATATCTTTATATTTATGGCTCGTTATTGTCAACAAGTATATTGGGACCTTGCTTTTTATTCACTGTGATAATGTTCCTTTTAATTGCAGTATTTAAACTATTTACTTTTAGTATAGTTAATTTGTGGTATGGTTGAATTTATATTTACTCTTTGTTTTCTATTTGTTCTTTGTCTTTTTTCTTCTCTCCTGATTTCTCTGAGATTTGATTTTTTTAATATTATCTCCACTATTAGCTTATGAGGAAGAGAAGAGGGAGATGATCAACATAACCCCCAAATTTCTAGAGTCTAAAACATACAGAGAATATCTTAGTAAAATGAGCTTTATAGAATTGTAGAGTAGGGTATTCCAAAATTACTGTCTTAAGGATTCATTTGTAAAAATATGATAGATTTTTTTGCAATAAATAGGAATGAATGATCAGGTATATTTTCATAATAATATACCAGTTAGGATTGTATTTGCCATAAAGAAGCTAGGCTGAAGGGATTTGTTACTTAAGTAATTTAAAACAAAATACATTTTGCTTTCCTACATTACTTTTGATTCAATAACAGCTGATTTTGTTTTTTCTCCCTCAGTATTTGATTTTCATCAAGCAGCTGATGGTATCCAGGAACAACAGAGACAAGAACAAGCAGGAAAAAAGTATGTTGTGTTTTTTGTGGGTTTTTGTGGGTGGATGTGTGTATGCAGTTTTAAGCATATCTAGCCTTTTTTTGTTTCGATTCTAGGCCAGAAGTTTAAGAAAAATAGCTATTAGACTATCCTGTTTAGATTTCAGAGAAAATCAGTAAGATCGTGAAAATAAACATAAAGAAAATAGCATAAACAGAAAACACTCACAGTAACTTAATTCTTTGTGGTCAACTGACCATTAAGAACTGGATCTTTCTTTTCTAACTCAGAGCTTGTTTTGATCTATTTTTAAGTTTGGGTACCACAAAAAAGGGCATTGGCCCAGTTTATTCTTCCAAAGCTGCTCGGAGTGGACTCAGGATGTGCGATCTTGTTTCTGACTTTGATGGCTTCTCTGAGAGGTAACTATCTTGTAGTTTGAAATGGAAAGAGCAAATGGATTTTTAGGATTTTTAAAACTCAATATGCAAATTGATAAAAATCTGTATTCTAGTTGATTCGTGGTGGTTGGCTTTTTCGTTTCTTATGAAATACTAAAGTTATTTTTTATTACATTTGAATTGGTCCTTAATTTGAGATTAACTTCATGAAAATAACATGATGTCGATATCATATGAGTACTCCCAAAAAGACAAAGCCAAAATTATATTTAAGGATTGGGATTTAGAATGCTTTACTGAGATATAGACATGTTTCTGGGGGGATGTGACAGTGCTATGGTGGGATCTCCATATCCTAGGGTCTTGATCCTCAGATTTTCAAGTTCAAAGACACTGTTGTGTCCTTTCACCTAGAAATAATTAGGTTATCAGGTACTTGTGAAATAACATGTATCAAGCTCAGCTTGAAAAATAAGAATGCCACCTTGACATTTAATCACTGTAGAAAAAATCTCCGTGGGAAACCTAATAATCATCAGAAAACTATATGGTGACTCAGTGATGAGTTAGTTGGTTGCATCTAATAACAGCATCAAAGATCACTCGCTGTATCCATTTGCAGTCAGCAGTTTGTCTGTCTGCATTGTTAGGGCACCTCTAGTGAGAATATTGGAGACCAGTTGCTAATGTCTGCCGCTGACTCTCCTAAAAGCATAGTTTTAGACCATTCCCTTTTATGTTTCACAGAATATAATATAATTAATTCAGATTTAAGTCTTGTGGTTACAGATTTGAGTCATTTCTTGCTCCTCCTGCCCCTCACACACATCACCTTAATTATATTGTTGATATTCCTATCAGTAAAAAATATTTTGAATGTATCATTTATTCATATGACTGACCTTAATTAGATTCTGTTTCTCAGAGTGTAACTTCATGTTGGGGGTTGTTACTAAGACCACTTAACTCTAGAAATCATTTGAATAGACTGAAATTATTCAGAATATTTTAAAACAGAGCTAAGGTCTTGATTTATCTGTTTTTTCTCAGGTTCAAAGTTCTGGCTAACCAGTACAAATCTATATACCCTACTTTGGAAATAGACATTGAAGGTGAATTACAAAAACTCAAGGTAATGCTTTCTGACATTTATAATGTTCTTTTTAAAACTTGTTTGCCAAAATAGCATCTAGATCTTTCATTCATTCAGTCTTGTATTAGGAACTGAAAATACAAGATTGAAGAACATGTGGTTAATAAGTGCCACACAGATATGTGTAAAGTATTATAGGTAAGAACTAGTAAAGTGAATTTGTATTTTTAAGTCTAAAAGTATACAGGCCTAAAAGGACATGGCATGTTTGAATAACTTTACATGATGTGGCTTTAACAAAACATCCAGTGGGGACCAGGGAGCAAGAATAAAGTACTTGAAAAGGAGCCTGACAGGCTACAGTGAATGAGGTCACAGAAAGTTAGACAAGTAGGAACTAAATCATAAGTCTTCTGTTGATCTTATATGCAGTAGTAGGAAGGTTAGCTACTCAATAATTTTGAGCAGAAAAAAAGAACTAACTTTGTATTATATAAAAATCACTCATAAGCATTTGGAGGATAAATCAACTAAGGGACAAGTGAGAGATGATAACTTTTAAAGCTAACCAGCACATTTAGGACTGATACCCCAAAGGGTCAGTTTCTTTAGCACTGTGCTCTTTAGAGACATAGAAGGTGATTGACCAAAGGTTAGGACCACAGTTGGTGCCTAAGTTAGTCAGTAATCAAGTTGCCTATCCTTTCCACCCTTCCATTCCTCCAAAATCTTTGGAGTTTCCAGCTGCTTCCTTTGTGTCTGACTATTACTCTTTCTTTCCTGTGAATAAGTATGATATCAGCTCCAGAACTGAATAGGAATTTACATATCTTATATGTCATTTTAGAATTGTAGCAGACCTTAGGTCTACCTACTCACTGAATTTCTTTTGAAAAAGTGACCTTCAAGGGGCAGTGTGAATGTTAGGTATTTGGATTTCAGCATATTGATTGTTGCTTAGAATGGACTGCCACTTTGTTTTCATTCTGTTATGCAACAAATATTTTAATTTATTAGTAGCAACTTGAAAATATTTACATGCTAATAAAAGGTGTATCTTTTCAATTCTATTTTATACTTATTCCATATAAATGTAAAGTAGATGAATAATAATGACCAGAATTAGGTAAGAAGATTTTTAATAGGTGATGAACAGTATTCCCTCCTTACCTTGGTTTTGCTTTTTGTGGTTTCAGTTTCCTGTGGTCAACTGCGAAACAACTCTTAAGTTTTAAACTTGAGACTTTCTGAGTAGTGTGATGAAACCTCTTGCTGTCCTGCTCCATCCTGCCCAAGACTTTAGTCATCCCTTTGTCCAGTGCGTCCTGCCCGTTAGTCGCTCACTAGCCATTTCACTTGCCAGATTGACTGCCCTGGTATCACAGTGCTTATATTCAAGTGACCCTTTTAACTTACTGATGGCCCCAAGGTACAAGAGCAGTGATGCTGGCAATTTGGATACACCAAAGAGAAACCATACAGTGAAAGTTCTTGACTTAACAAGGAAAGAGAAAAATATGCTGTGGTTGCTAAGGTCTACAGTAAGAATAAGTCTTCTATCCATGAAATTGTAAAGAAGGAAAAAGAAATTTGTGCTAGTTTTGCTGTTGCAAAAGTATAACAGTGTGTTACATAATTTTTGTTATAGTATAATGTCATAAGTGTTCTATTTAATTATTGGTTATTGTTAATCTCTTGCTGTGCCTCATTTATAAATTAAATATTACCATAGGTATGTATGGATAGTAGAAAACACAGTGTAGGTGGAGTTTGGTATTGTCTGTGGTTTCAGGTGTCCCCTGGGGGTCTTGGAACATATTCCCCTAGGATATGTGGGGGGACTGCTGTATGTTGAACCAGGACTTTAAGGAACATGATGAATGGTACAGTCATTTCAGGCATTTTAAAAAAAGGACTAAAACAGGAAGAAGCATGATACTGGGGACTGGAGCCAGAGGGGGATTATATATCCATCAATAGGTATAACATACTCAGTGAGTTCATGAGTGGATCTTGGAATTTCCATACTGGTCTGGCAAAACATTTAAACAGGGTTGAAACTAGATTTTATTGCAGTTATACTATAGGCCTTAGGGGAACTCTTGTTTATATTTTTAATTGAATTTCTAGAATTAAGCAGTATTATTAATACTTTAAACATGTTTTGAGAAAGTTTTATCATGTTTATGTGAGTTAGTATTTGATATTAGTAGTAAATCTGCTAAGGTATTTTACTGTAATGGAATACAGTGGGAAAAGAATATTAGAAATCAGTTATTGATGCTTGCTTGGCAGTGTCACTGGTGGCCTTCACAACATTTTGAGAAAGACTTTAATGCACTTATGGTTATATGGACTCTAAGTGCTGCTTTTTTAATACCTACAAAATATAAAAGCACAATATTCAGTTCTTTTTATTTTCCTAAAAGCTGGTATATGAAGTATGAGTACTGGGCAGTTCAGAAGATTGTTATCATTATTTGCAGTGAGGTTGAAGTAGAACCTTTGAATTTCATTGTATCTCTACTTCTCTTCAAATAGTGTCTCTTTTCTGGTTCTGGAGAATCAGCATGAGAGACCAAAGCCAATCCAAATATTGCAATAGGGTGAGCATTGTCACCAATCCCTTTCTCCTTTCCAGTTGTCAGTTTTCACTGTCAAAAGTTGGGTAATTTTTACTCAGATAGTTTACATTGTAAATTTATTAGTATACATTGAACTTGGTTTTTGTCTTTGTATATAGGGTTATATGGAAAGGATTAAACCAATGGTGAGAGATGGAGTCTATTTCCTGTATGAAGCTCTCCATGGACCACCAAAGAAAATCTTGGTAGAAGGTGCAAATGCAGCACTACTAGATATTGATTTTGGTAAGTGAGATACAACCTACGGGGAGCATAACTGAGTCCTGAATTGCTTAATTAATGTTAGCATTAAAGGATTTTAGAATAAGAGTTTTTGCTTGTATATTCAGGAATGATGAAAGTTTGTCATCTTATCCTAACCCTTTTTTAAAAAAAGGAATATTTTGTGTTTTGCAGTTCATTAGAAAAATGAAATCACTCTTTGGGTCAATGGGATTTTTGTTGCTTGGTTTATAGCAATTCCAGACTGTATTTCCTTGGAACTGAAAGATGATTAGATGAATTCTGTGAAAGAACCTATAATTCAACCTTTTAAAAACTATCCAGAGCTAATAGTGTACATTGTTACTAAGCATGCACATCCTAAGATCTATGGAAGTCTGTTTAATTAACTCCCTGGATGAGAGATTCTGAGTTTAAAAATTTAATGCTTATCATCTTCAAACTTTGTTGGCCTTTTAAGCTAAAGATGATCTCTCAGTGTAAGACTGATTGTCCTCAGCTGTTAGGAACATTTCATTGACTTTTGACTCCAAGTAAGCCAGTTAAGATATATTTCTATACAGTAGATACATATTTTTGATACCATAGTATGCCTATCCAATCTGGAAAGAAAGCAGTGTCTAATTAGCATAGGGGATAGTTTAAGAATGAAGAGGATCTTGGGGTCAGGGTTGGAGGGGGTAGGAAGTACACCTTTGCTTACTCTTGTCATTTCTGGGGTTTATTCCCTGAAGAGAGATCGAAAGGTCATAGAATGTGGAACACCACAGAATTCTTAGTGTACTCTTGTCACTCCAGGCTGCTGGGGTATCCGTATCAAGGGAGTAAAATAACTTTACTCCTGTTTTAAATTAACAGGAAAGTATAAAATATTAATCTACATAGTAGGATAACAGCAGAGTTTGGGCATTAAATGAGGTGAGTACCTACTGGACAGACCCGAGTAACTGCATGTACGCAAGGAGCGTCTGTGGTACAGCACTGCAGCTAAAGCTTAACCACCTATGTTTTTATCTCTGCAGACAAAAAGAGTCAGGAATAAAACATCGAGGCTTGGAAAGGGTGGTTCCATAAGTCTGTCAGATACCTAGAAGATACTCAAATGCAGAATTTAAAAAAATAACGTCTATCATTTGTGTATATTTTACTGTTTGTTTCTGTTTTTTAGGGACTTATCCTTTCGTGACCTCTTCAAACTGTACAGTTGGAGGTGTGTGTACTGGCTTGGGTATGCCCCCTCAAAACGTTGGAGAAGTGTATGGAGTTGTGAAAGCTTATACAACTAGAGTTGGTATTGGTGCCTTTCCTACAGAACAAGACAATGTAAGCCTGTTTCTCAGTAAATCTGACTCAAAAGTTTGAAACTGAAAAATCATGCTTTTTTCTTAATGAATTATTGTCTTTTATGCATTTCACTTAATTTGCAAGATTAATCAGCGCAACTTTAAAGAAAATTACATATACCTTTATTGTTAGTGGCAATAGATTGGCAACAAAAGGGGAGAGATTAGTGGGCACTTAAAGGTAACTGTAATTGCAGGCAAGTGAAGGTGGGTTACGAAGGGGATTAAGATAGTAGAGGAGGGAAAATTTTAAAATAACAGGTATCTTTCATCAAGAGCTTATTAGGAGTCAAGGTTTAGGAAAGTGACCTCCAGACATTGTCTAATCATAGCCCACTCTTCACTTGGTGGTGACCTCAGGCCAGCCACTGTTTAATTGCTGTAAACTTAGAAGCTCTTTGTATCCTCACAACAACTCTGGGAGCTGGGTGCTGTTACCATCCCTATTCTACATATGGGGAAACTGAGGCCTGGAGAACTGAAGTAACTGCCTCAGGCCACACAGATAGACAAGGCTGAAATTCAGACCTGACAAAGCAGTATTTTAGTTGTAATTCCGTCAGAATATGTGTGGTAATGAAATGATGGCTTTAATCAGAAAGGTGTAAATTAAGGAATAGATAGATGATAGACGGGAAAATTAGGTTGTAGGGAGTGGCTGTAGCTTAGAACTTTGAGCGTTGTTTTGAACCTTAATTTTCTTCGAAAGGACATTGTGGTAGCAACTAGTACATGGGAATTTACCTTATGGTTTTCAGGAAAATCATCAAACTACAGTTCTTAGAACAAATTGGCCTAACTTATCTATTTCAGTAAATATTTATTAGCAGCTTAGTTTTTAATATGCAATATTTATAATTTTTATGTTAATTCAAATTTTTGGAAGTTATCTATATAATGTAAAAGGTTGGTCTTAAAATAGTGGTTAAAAAATAAAGTCAAAAGTAGATGTATTTCAAATAATGCCTCCTTCACATAAAATCTATCTCTGTGAAATTGTTCCTTCCAACTTATTTTTTCTGAAGACGTTTATCTCTAAGAAACTTTATGCCTTGTTATATGATCTACTAGATTTAGAGTGTTGGTATTCTCATCCTAAAGTTTTATTTTCTGTTCTTTAGGAAATTGGAGAATTATTACAAACAAGGGGTAGAGAGTTTGGTGTAACGACAGGAAGGAAAAGAAGATGTGGCTGGTTGGACCTTGTTTTGCTCAGATATGCTCATATGATTAATGGATTTACTGCGTGAGTATTCTTAGAAACACTTATTTCATAAATGACAATTGATGACCACAGGTTAAATTTTGTGGAGTGCAAACTTGAGGTAGTGCACTAATACAAAAATTTCACTCTTTAGACTCCAAATGAAATTGCAGTTCAGAAGTGGACCAAAATACAGGGGAGGGGTGCATAAGGAGAGAGACCCTAGTTTTTCTCCCCAGACATCCAAGGTTGGGAGAGAAAATCGTGATACTCTTACATGCTTATAAGTTTAGAGGGAAGTAAGACAGGCAGGTAGAAAGGTGAGTAGGTAGACAGATGGAGCAACAGAGAGTATGTATATCAGAGGGGAGGCAATGTAACTGATTTAGTGGATAGGCTTGATTGACATCTGACTTCTGGATTCAAATATCAGATCCATACACTATGCTGTGTGACTGTGGGTAAGTTAATTTTTCTGTGCCTTTTTCATCATCTTTAAAATCTGAATAATAGTACTATCTACATCAAAGGGGTATTTTGAAATCTAGACGAGAGTATGTAGCATGCTGCCTGGCACACTAAAAGTGCCCAGTAAAAGTTGCTCTTAATATCGATGCTTACACATAAGAAATGAAAAATGTACTCATGTTTGTGTTACTCAGGCTTAACTTTTAGCAAATATTAGAGTAAAGGTTAAAAAAAAATCTGTAGGCAAGAATCTCAGACCTAGTGTTCTATCTAATTTCTATAGATTTTCCTAGAAAACTGTTTTCCAGTCAATTTATTGGGAGAATTTGATGTGTTATGAAGAGATCCTCCCTCTCCTTTGACAATTTCTGACCAGAAGGGTAGTGTTAAAGGAGAGTGAAGAAATGAGGATTGATCACATACCTGTATATATCGTGCATGTATCTTGTCATTCACGTGGAACAGTCAGTTTTGCTGTGTCAGCCACACAATGCATCCTTTGCTCCAGGCAACCCTCTCTGGATATGTATTAGTTGATCCTGAGAAACTAAGCGAGAGGATGTGGATCTATCAATCAGTGAAAATCTGTTACAGTTATTAGAAAAGTGACTCACTAGTAGATTAGTTAAGTCATTGTTTTTAATAGAGGAAAATATATCCATGTATTGCCCTGTAGTGTTTTATGTGTGGTGTGCTTTAAAATATAATTCTAGCCAGTTTTCAGAATTGCTTTGGAACTTTTAGCTTTGTATGAATTTTCCTTTACTTCTTCATCAAGTTGTTAACATCTCCTTTTCTTCCAAAATTAGGTTGGCACTTACCAAATTGGATATTTTGGACATGTTTACAGAAATCAAAGTTGGAATTGCATACAAGTTAGATGGTGAAATTATACCTCATTTTCCAGGTATTCTTTTTTAGGCTGTGTATAAAGAGTATTATTAGGTGTATGTATCAAAGCAATTCATAAAACTCTTCTGTATAATTTATGACATACAGCCACAGACTTGAAATGCCCTTTGGGAACAGTGCAAGTATACTCACAGCATTTGTTTCATAGTTGCTGTGGATTTGAGTGCTGTGTCATGACAAGCTTGTGTTCACACTTGAAACGGGAAAGAAGAGACGGTACCACTGGGCCCAGTTACGCTGCTCCTGAATCTTATCTTCCCTACTCTGAAAGTAACCTCTCTGTAGGCATTCCTTGAGAAATGTGAGATAGGACAAAAGAGCCCTGCTTGTCAGGGTAAGCAGCTCTTAATACAGTGACCCGCCGTGTCCTTCAGGCCATAGGAATGACTTTTCTAACCTGTGTGTCTTAAGTAGATGGGTGTAAAGAGGTTTCCTGCTAGAGCCAGTGGGCTTCTTCAGGCATGTCTTTAGTAACATGAGTTCTTCAGTTACTCAGGAAGTTCCAAAAATGTTTCCATTTTCCAGAAATAGAAACTGTTAAATTGTTAGTCATCCTGGAAGACTAAGAATATGTCAAATGAAGGAATATTGACTAGCTTAATGAAACTTGGTAGACTGGTAGGTTTTTGACCAGTCCTTGGGAATTGAGAACTGGGAGTTCTTAGAAGCATGTTTAAAGTCATTATTTGTTAGCTGACATCTGGGCCATCTCCAGTTTGGTTTCTTCTGACTATTCTTTTCCTTGATTGTGTGTCTGTGTCTCATGACTTTTGGTTGAATATTGTACATTGTGCATAATATGTTGTAGAGACTTGGATTCTGTTATCTTACAGAAGAGTATTGGTTCTTGTTTTAGGGGACAGTTGAATTACTGTCTTGTCATCCTGAACCTCGTATAGCTTGTTTTTTTTATACTTTGTTTGTATAGTATATGGAGAGCGCAAGGTGTTTCCCAAATCTCTCTAACCTAGTGTGAGACAGTCTCCAAATTATCTCTGTGGGTCTTGGCAGAACTTAGTTTTAGGCTTTGTTGAAGGGTGAATGGGGGTTGGTGGGGAGCGGGCAGGGTGAGGGAGAGTCTGTAGTAGATTTCAAGCTAAAGTTTGGTTCTTACTTTTAGTGAACAACCTTTCTGTTGTCTCAGCTGGATGCCAGGAGAGTTAACAAGGTATAAAGCGATCTTTCCAACCTTGCAGTGCTGGAGCTCCAATGTACCCTGTCCCTTCCCATTCACCAGCACTGCTTGACCTCTAGAATCTTTATCCCACTCAGCTATGTGACAGCTGCTATCTGGTAAGCCTCCCGTGGGACCATGCATGTATGGTTGAACTTTAGCCATGGTACCTTCACACCCATTTCTGGGGGAGGAATACCCTCTCTATAGCTCTCTCCTCTCAGATGCTTGCCCTTGATGATTCTAGCTGCTTCAGCTTTCCTGAAATCTGATATCTATGTTCTCAGGTCAGTGGGACCCCCATTGCCTACTGACTCCAGTGTCCTGACTTTCCTTGATCAAGAAATTGTCCCTGGCAGAGAGTTAAGTAGTTTCAGGAATTGCTTGAGTTTTCTTCCTCTCAGAGACCACAGTTTGTATTACCTATTGACCACTGCCTGGAAAGAGTTGTCATGTATTTTGTCCAGTTTTACAGTTATTTATGCTAGAAAACAGAGAAGGCAATGGCAACCCACTCTAGTACTCTTGCCTGGAAAATCCCATAGATGGAGGAGCCTGGTGGGCTGCAGTCCATGGGGTCATTACAAGTTGGACACAACTGAGCGACTTCACTTTCACTTTTCACTTTCATGCATTGGAGAAGGCAATGGCAACCACTCCAGTGTTCTTGCCTGGAGAATCCCAGGGATGGGGGAGCCTGGTGGGCTGCCGTCTATGGGGTCACACAGAGTTGGACACGACTGAGGCGACTTAGCAGCAGCAGCATGCTAGAAAAGTTCATCTAGAACCATATGCTCCATAATGGCTGAAAGGAGAAGCCTCCCTGAATCTCTTGATTCTCTGTGGTCTGTCACAAGCAGTGCGACATAGTGTGGCTCATCACTTTCTCTAAGTGTCCACAAACATTCCTAACATGATACATTTTCATTGTGTCATGGATCATAGGAGAGAACTCTCGTATCCATATATTCTCTTATTAAACTTTTTATTCCACCACTTGCAGAATCCTTTCATCCTGTACCTCTAGGATCCAGTTCTGTACATACTCCTTTTGCTCCTACTGGTAAATATTGACTCAGTCCTACAGATCCTTCAGAATATATTTCCTCTCCTCCTCTAGAAGGCCCCGTGACTCCTTGGCCAACTTATGTTTGCATGTCAGGAGAGGAGGCCCTGAGAGGCTTCTGCATCATCCTCAAGCCAAGGGAAGCCTCAGCCATTCTGCAGGCCATCAGCGAATCTATAGAAAGATTAAGCCAGATGTCTCAAAAGTCTCAGGGTTCCAGTTTTTTCTCAAACAGGATCTGGCCTTGTAGCAGATTTGCTGGATTTGAGTGTTCAGCTTTCTCTGGAGCTCTGCCATCTCTATGATTGAGTCCTAAGCCTGATCCTCAGCTCTTCCTGTTCTCTGCTGTAGGCAGAGATGAGATGAGATTCTCTCTAGGTATTTTCATTACTCTTTCATTGTCTTTGTCCAGTTCATGAACGGTGTCCATCTAGAGCCGTTCAATCCCAGTTTCCCTTCTGCTCATTGCCAGTGCTTTACTTCCCACCACAGCATCCCGGTTCACCTCCCGTGGACAGTTGTACTACTAGAACATGCCAAAGACTGTACTCTCTCTACCGCTAGCAGTCGTCCTCATTGCCAGCCAGCTGGCCAGTGATCCAGCTTCAAGATCCCATTCCAGAGCCTTCTTCCTCAGACCACTCCTGGCACCAGTTGTCTTACTTTTGGTTCCCTGGGAAACAGACTGTGATACAGAGATGTACGTGTAGGTAGTTTGTTTGCAAGCGCTCTGAGCAACAATGTCTGTAACGGAGGGGGAGAGAAGAAGTAGGATTAAGCAGAAGTTGAACTGCCAAGAAGTTCCATGAAAAACCCTCAGTTGGTCCCATGGGGAACTCTGGGATTAGAATAGTCCTCCAGAGTAGTCCCAAGTTAAGGTAAATAGGCAGGTCCTTCATATCCCCATTTTGATTAGTCGGTATGGGCTGCTCCAGGGAGACAGCTGAGATTCTGAACTATGCGTTCTCAGCAGGCAGTGCTCCTGGAGCTGGGGAATTAGCGTGTGAATCCTGAAGAGGGAAGACTGGACAGTGTACCATAGCATCCACCATACTACCTCCAGTCAAAGACACTATTCTTGTTTTAGTACATTTTCGGCTTCTATTAAGGAATATGGAGAAACTGGTTAGGTGAGATAATGAAGAAATTTTCCTGCTACGTCTTTGTATACAGTCACAAAAACAATAGAGGATTTCCCAGGTGAGAGCATGTATGCAAGCCTTCTTTCTGTGACATTGCTGCCATTATACAGATCCATAGCCCCCAGTCCATAGTATGGAAGTCTAAAAAGCTCTGAAAACTGAAAGTTGTTAAGTTTGGCACCAAAACTCATTTGACAGCAAAACCTGACTTGAATTGATGTTAGAATTAATAATACTACCCACTTAGAGTGAATAATCCTATTGCTGCAAAAATATGTTTGATTATGAAATACTAGATGGTGTACTTTTCTACCTCCCTAAATTCTGAAAAATTATAAATGTCAAAACATTACCTGGCTCCAGTGTAAGAGATTGTGAACCTATGATGTATTAAAAACTCATTTGACAATAGGCAGTGTACACCATGGGCAAATATATTTATTCTTTAATTTTCAGCAAACCAAGAAGTCTTAAATAAAGTTGAAGTTCAGTATAAGACTCTCCCAGGATGGAACACAGACATATCAAATGCAAGGACTTTTAAGGAACTACCTATTAATGCACAAAACTATGTTCGATTTATTGAAGATGAACTTCAAATTCCAGGTAAATATACTTTATGAACAACTATTTTTTCTACTTTTGATTTCAGCTATCTTTGAAATAGGATAAAAAACAGATTATTTCTCTGTAGAGTGCTTATGATTTGCACAGATGCCCAGGAAAAGAAAATATCTTTCTCTAATCCTTCACATGCCTCAAGACGATATATTACCTCTCACCCTTTTTGACCCTGTCTTTAATTCTGTTAGTCTTTTTTTTTTCTTTTTGCCCTATGACATTCATTCTTATTCCTTTCTCCCTCTTAATAATAAATCTTTGTGTCTTTACCACCATCAAAACTGGTTTGTGATTTTTTTTCCACTTGAGGTTAAGCTACCCTTGAGAGTTGGTGAGGTTTCTTGACTAGATATTAGGAAATAATAGATGCAGAAAATAGGAAATCCAACTTGAAAAAAATGAAAGAATAAAGAGTAAAACTTCTTTATTTAAAAAAAGTAAGCTGGCCAAGGAGTTAGACATAACTAAATTATGGCTATGAACTAGTTATGTGAAACCTCTCTTTTAAAACATTGCTTTTTTTCCCTTTGGTACTGTTGGAGATTTCAGAGACAAACGGTAGAGTGGAAAATATCCTTTGTATAAAATCTATTATGCACTTAACCTGATTTTATATTGTTGATTATATTTGTGGTTCATCTCCAAACATGAATCTTATTTTCCATATTGCTAGCTGTGTCTCCCAGCTTGATATTAAATCTTGTAAGCATGTTTGCTCATTGTACTTAGTCAACGTCTTTTGAAATATAAAAAGCAGTGAGTTTAACAGTGACATCTGTAAAATGCCATAAAGGTTTGCCCATGTAGTGCTGATGAGGAGAGATTCCCTTAAGACTGGTACAGTAGCCAGATTCTCAGGCTGTGCAAATTAAAACAGTATTCTCTTCCAGATATTTCTAGTTTTTGTGAGATATGGAAGTTACAGTGTCACTTCAGTGTCCTCTTACTGTCATCCATTTATTAAAGATGCCTATCTTTTCTAGTTAATTAGGAATTTGATTAAAGGTTTTTAGGTCGCTAATGGTTTGGGCCAGTATTTGACTACAATCATTAGGAACTGAACAGTTTGTAAATATTGTATAATTAAAAACAGGAAAATTTTAAGGCATACTACCCTGTCCTGGATGTTGACTGCACATTCTGTTTAGAAATTGGCATAATCTGCTAATAGAGGGAAAAGATAGCAAAAGACATGGGGGGAAAGTTAAATGGTGACACTGAGAAAAGTGGGGGATCTGTTAATCCCAAAGATTGAACATTATACATGGATTAATACTATTCTTATACTCTTTTTCTCCCTCCCAGTTAAATGGATTGGTGTAGGTAAATCCAGAGAATCTATGATTCAGCTCTTTTAAGGATTTCCAGTGATGCAAGAAACACTCCTGGAGAGGCGGGGAAAGGACTTTCTTAAATATGTCATTTATGATCTACAAATTCCAAGAATAAAGACATTGAAGTGAGTTTTAAGCCCTACAGTTGTTTCCAGTCTTTTGAGATGGATGGCTGGTGTGGAGATACACTTTGGCATTTTCCAGTGTCAGCTTTCTTAGCTGGCATAATTGCCGAATCATTTGTTGCTCCTGCTGCTCATGGTGCCACGTTTTCTTTTAATGTTTAGTAATAATATAATCAATGTTGTTTGAAATCTAAAATAGAATTACTTTCAGTGTAGTTTTTCTTCATTATTGTTGTTGTGTGTTCATAGGTTTTACCTCTATTGAATGGTAAGAAAAATTAATGCAGTTTTGCACAAATATTTTTACATTCTGATCATTCATTTCTGTCACTGTAACCTTTGTTGTTTGAGAGAAAATGATAAGAGAGGAGTCCTGTAAATTTTTGTAATGCTATAAATTCTGTTTAAATTGTGAACTGTTTATTTTCTGCTGAGACCATTGCAAATTTGAGCTTTGGTGATGGGGGGGGATTATATTCATGAGTCCTCTGATTTGTACAGAACACAAAGCTTATTTCTCTTGTGTAAATTATTTAACATATTGGACATTTAGCTAAATGTTCAAAGAAAGAAAAAAGTGTTCCCTAAAATAGCAATTGTATTGTTAAAAAACTTAGTCATTAAAAGATCTGTTGTGATATTTGGTGGATATTTTTCTTTAATTTCAGACATTAATTCTGAAATGTATAGCTTTCTTACCATTATTTCTAAAGTCAAATGGGTTGATATTTGAACATCGTGCCTGCCAGTATGCCTACAGAGTCATCTATAAGTGTCCAAATGAAACCAACTTGTTGGTCATAATTTTGATCATACCTTTATTTCTTCTTTCTTGAAAAAAAAAAAAGTGTTTTTTTGACTATTTGGCTTAACATACTGCATTGTAGATCATCCTTCAATGAACTATTTTAAATGTTTAAATTAGGTGCCACTTAAATTTATTTTATTATACCATCAATAGCTGATTAAAAAGAACCAACTATTTCTAGTATGTTTTGTGTATTGTGTTTTTGTTCTGATAAGAGGAATAATAGTAATACTACTAGTACATATAAGATAGAGTTTTACCTTTGTAGTCTGTGGGGTACAGTGAGGAAAACTCAGCAACAGAATCTTTGAAAGGATCTAAGTGTGTTTTATCTTTACTAAATGTATTTTTATTAATAGTTTTTAGAGTCTGTTTTCTTGGCTATAAGCATCACATTATTAAAACGTGTTGTTAGTAATGGTCCAGAAGCAAATTAAGTGACCTGTTTGGGGACTTCCCTGGTGGTCCAGCGATTTTACGTTTCTACAGCCGTGGGTGCGGGTTCAATCCCTGGTCAGGGAACTAAGATGCCACTTGCTGCACAATGCAGCCAAAAAGTTTAAAAAAAAAATGTGAGCTGTTACTAATTAAATTGGTTGAGAGAATATGTTCTTCAGGTACAATTAAGTTTTTAAAATTATAGACAACTGTATTAAAATAATCTTTGTTGATCAAGTATATATGCTAGGTATTAGGTATGTGATAAGTACAGTCTTCCTAAAGTTTATTGTAGTGGGGAGAGCATGCTAAACAAACATATGCTAGGATGGAAAAGTACTGAAGTGCTGTGCAGGAGAACCTAATCTAAATTTGGGAAAGGTCAGAGAAGGCATTTAGTAGATACAGCATTTAAACGGACCAAAAAGATAAGTGGCTGGAGTACAAAGTAGTCAATGTGCAAAGACCCAGAGGCTCGAAATAATTTGGAAAGTTTGAGCAACTGAACAAAATAGCGAGGGACTGGTGAGGCCGCTGAGGCTGGCAGGAAAAACCAGAGGAGGGTAAAGCCAAACAACCAAACTGTGTTTTATATGAGGACTAACAAGATACTTCAGTGTGGAGAGGACCTGTCTAGTATGTATGTTTATATATATTAATACAGTTAAATGGGGATGCCTTTCCTCCACAAATGAGTATATGAATTTAACGCCATTCCAGTCAGAATCACCATGGTGTTCCTTGTTACTGGACAAAAATTATTGAAGCTTAGGTGAACAAATGAATATGTAAGAATGTCTAAGATATTTTTGAAAAAGGAATGTGTTGAGAGAGGAGGTTTTTACTCACCAGATATTAAAGTGGTATATTAATACGTGTGTGTATATATACATATATATATGTATGTATGTAACTGTTCTTGGGGGTAGTTTATTAACTGGTAGACTTTACTTTGGGGTGATGAGTAGGGGACCAACTGCTATGCTTGGGGAGTCCCTAGAGAACACAGTGAAGATTTTTTTCTTTGGGAGCATTTCTTTAGAGAACCTCTATCGTTTTGCCTAGGGAGCTGGTGACTAGTTGTCAGGCTTTCTTGTCAGTATAGGGATGTTAATTCTTCTGTATGGAGACTTTCAGTTAATCCTCTCACTGTAGCCCTCTGCCATACTGGGTTCTGTATCCAAAGCACCTTCAGGGTCTGTGATGCCAGGAATCTTCCTCCTTGGCTATATCTTTAGGTTCTTCTCTTTTTTTTTTTCCTAACAGTGTTGCAGTTATTGAACAGATGCAATTATCTCCTTAACTGGTCCCATATGTAACCACTGGACTAAATGTGAGATGGTTTGGCGACATTAGCAACAAGACTGCTAGTGGGGCCTTAAGAACAGGTGACAAACTCTCAAGGCTGATCTTGATTCCCTGCCCTAGACTGGCCAACTGATTGGAAGAGAATTTGCAATGTGTAAATATGTTCAGGATTGTAGCCATCAGGATACACACTTAAAAGTAGTTCTGTTAACCATTATTTTAGCCTAAAGGAGCCACTTAAGAATGCGGAATGTTTTGTTCAAAATGCCATGGTTACTTTAGTTTAAAAGCCTTTCTTTCAAAGCCACCTCCCTTCACAACAGTAGTGCTCTGGCAGTGAATTGAGTGGTCTAGGATTTGATGAAACTGTGGCTAATTTCCGGGCCCAATCTGGAAAATAAAACAAATTAATGATTTATTTTAAGACTACTCAGTTTTAACACACTGTCTTTTCAGGAACAATTGTGTGCAATAACAGTGATTTATAAGGTTTAAAGCAAAGGGATATATTTAAAAGATGTGGGGGGAAAAGGGCTTAATCAAAAGTTGTTTTTGTGGTTCAATCTCTGATTGAGGCATGTGATTAGATTATTCCAAGATGTAAATAAAATGAAATAAATTGCATAAGTTTGTATTCTTACATTCTAATTCTAGATACCTGCTTCACCCTTTAAGCCCTAATAGGTCACTTTGTATCATGTTTGTATCAAAATGTAGTTGTTACCATCCCTAAATTCAGACCCATTGGAGTGCCCTCATCTTTTATATTCCCTTGTCTACAATCACCAGCATTTCTGCTTATCTAAAGGTATGGGTTCAAGGAGTTTGGGTTGGATACTGCAATCATTGCATCTACACCTAATGGACCAAAGACTAGAATGTTTCAGTGATAGTGTAACAAAACTTTATCAGGTATAGTGCTTTTCCCTGTGTTAGGTGTTTTACTTAAGGGTTAACCCTGAAATTCACAGATCCTCAGAGGCCCACTGATACTATCACTACCTCAAAGAGATCAATGAACTTTCCTGAGTTTACAGGACTTGTGAGAGGAGGAGCCCACATTTGACCCAGAATTATCAGGCCCCAAAGCCCCTAATCTCTTCATTGTTCTCTCCACCTTCCATAGCACTTCAACAGCATTTAAAGAAATAAACATTTTTAATATTAAGAATGAATAACATTTCATTTACTCAGGAAATACAGCTGGAAATGCCATGTCTGGAAGATTTTAAAAATCAGATTTAACTAAATGTGATGCTGTCCGTAGTTGGTTACTATGGTTAACTTTGACTTCTCAAAGCTTACTATTGGATTAAATAATAACTCTGACTTTCTTAAGGATTACATTGTATTCCAGGGAAATATATTAATGATGTTTAGAAGTGTTAGGAATCCTACTTGATAGCCTTAGTGACCCTTGTTATGAGAATTATGGAGCTGAATTAGATACATTTAACCAGGTAAATTCTACAGTAAATGTTTTAAGAACACAACAACATTTTGGGAGGATTTCTCCTGCTATTCCACTTACTGCATATATATGCCTTCTGACAGTGGGTGCTATCAAGTCTGAAATATACTATACAAATTTGGGGGTGGGGAATACTATGGAAAGAACTGTGAAATGATTTTTTAGATTTCTATATCATTTGACAAAAGTCAAATTATTGTTCATGTGAATTTGTGTGTGATGACTACTTTGAAATTCATTGCTGAAAAATGAAGTGAAAAATTAGTTGAGAACCACAGAGAAAATGTAACCAACTTGCTGAAGAATCCCATGTATTCCAAATGATTTAATGATTTAGTATTATTTAATATTATCACTTCGGGCAATTAAGAAATTTTAAAGGATAACGTTGATTATATATGACTGTTACTTTATGCCCTAGTTTTAGAAATTAATCCCAGTGAAAGATGTCATTCCAGTGTATTAGGTTTTTTTAAAAACAAACTTTTATTGTGACACGTTTGTCCTTGATTATTAGTAATAGCTAACAGTTTTGGAGGTTTCTTAATATTATGCACAGGCATGATGCTCCATTATTTATATGGGTATCTCAGTTCTATTAGGTCGATACTATTTTTATCCTTTTTGCATGTGAGAAAACTGAAGGTCAGAATCTAAGGGTCACACTGCTATCAAAAGAATATATTTTATTTTGGAAGAATGAGGTTTTTTAATTATTTGGCACCAAGGTGCATAAAACAAGTGCAACTTTCATCTGAGGGGCCATCTCACCCTCGCAGGCTATAGATTCCCTGAGAACAGAATCGTCTCTTCTACTGTGTCTTGCACATAGTCAGTGCTTAATAAATATTTCCCAAATAAATGAACCCCTGTG